AGAGAGAGAGAGAGAGAGAGAGAGAGAGAGAGAGAGAGAGAGAGAGAGAGAGAGAAATCTCTATGTTTATGATCAAAATTTAAAATAAAAAATAAAAAATAGAAAATATTATTTTACAGAATTTCTTTTATAATTATCAATTGTCATCAATTTAGAAAAAAATACACTATTTACTAATTAAATTAAATTTAATTTATTAGACAATCACAGGCAAAAGAAAATTTTACTACTTTGAAGTATCGATTTTACATGCCTTTTCGAAGAGTAAATCACGATTATATCATCTTCAAATGTTATTTATTAAATCAACAGCACATGAATTCAGCCTCGGGCGTAAAAAGAGCCGGCAAACTTCAGAAGCGAATAAACCGCGCGGCCGTATTATTTTAGAATTCCGCGGAAACGACAAGAGAAAAGTATTATAAGAATTGTCAAAGATACCAGCAACGAGGTGGTTGAAGAACGAGGACGATCGAGACGAGGTGGCTTGCTAGAGATAGCGAAACACTGATTGCGTCGAGAAACTACCTCCCCGCAGAACATCTCGCTGATCAACTCTCCCTTCTTCTGCTTTTAATCCCTCCCGCTTTTCTGAACTTTTTCTCGCTTCTCTTTCTCTCTCTCTCTCTCTCTCTCTCTCTCTCTCTCACTTACTCTTTCATACTACTTTTCCTTGCGCACTGCGTTTAACACAGAGCAGCGTCCCTAGAGATTATTCTACGAACTTTCTCGTTCGCTAACGACGTATGTACAATTTGCAAATATCCATCATTTTCTTGAACGTAAGTATCAAGATTTACGAATTTTGCATGTGTATAAGAATCTTATATATTTGATACAGTCGATATACATAGATTGAATAAACAAACAGATATTATAAGTTGACTGTATCATCTTCGATCTTATGTTATAAATATTTTTATGCAATTCACACATCGCATATTATTGATTTATTAATCATTTTATTATTATTAATTAATATATCGCATATTACAAGTATCACGGTTTTGAAGGTTTTTCATTTAGTCTGAATTTAAATTCGAGATTTTCAAAATACGGAATAGGGTATATTAGCTACTACTGGCTTTATCTAATAGCTAATTTAAACTTTCAATTATAAATATATTATTCCTTCGTGGACATCTAAAAAATGACGACTAGTTGGACAGACTGTGAAACCCACGCGACTTTAAAGTTGAATATCTCCGCGAGAAATCAATATTTTTTCAATTTTACTTTTTTGAAAGTTTGAATTATAGACATGTACGCCTAGACTCAGCATGCATGTCTTTGGCAGAACGGACAAAGAGGCAAAACATGGGGGAAGATTTTTCTTTTTGCGCAGATAGGATGCGCAGTCTTTTTTTTGACGAGCGTGACAGTCATTAGTAGAACACAGATTCTAACCTAAGAAAAAAAATATATATATACAGGGTGTCCCAGAATTGCCGTACAATCTCTCATAGGCAGGTAGGAGTAAAACTGAGTCGAAAAGTCCTGAACGAGTTTTTTCTATCACTTATAATAAAGGATTTAATTATTGAATAAATCAAGCCAATCAACGCCGACCATTAGACGGGCGCACGTCAGTGAGCCGCGCGGAGCGCTCACGCACATCAGACGCATGGTTGACTGACGTGCGCCCGGCTAAAGGTCGGCGCTGATTGGCTTGATTTATTCAATAATTACTCCTTTATAATAGAAAAAAATGGTTCAGGACTTTTCGACTCAGTTCTACTCTTTCTACCTACCTACGAGAGATTGTATGGCAATTCTGGGACACCCTGTATACAGAAGCGTAGTTGTCTGCGGGCAATCAAAAACATTTATTAAATAATATTGTTTTTTATAATAAGTAAACATATAACTTGACATTTATAAAAAAAAAACATTTACACCATTGTATTTTTGTACTTTACTTGATTAAAAAACATATTTTAATATAACATAAGTAATAACTGAACATATAACACAAGTAAACAGAAATTGCACATAAATAATTACACAAAAAATATTATTACGTAAATGTAATATATAATATCCACATGCACGTCTTCATTTTTTGAACTAATTATAATGTTCTTATATATCATTTACAAAGGGCGCGCAGAAAAGGACAGAGATATTCCTTATGTTTTGCCTCTCTCTCCATTCTGCCAAATCCAATAATTATCATGACAAAATGTACGGCATGCTGAGTCTATACATGTCTACGATTTGAACGATTTTGCGTCAATCAAAAAAAAAAAAAAAAAAAAAAGAAAACAAAATGGAAAAAATCTTCAGTTTCGACGATATAAGCGTTTAAAAAATTAATTTTTATTCGAGACGCC